TACCCAGGCTGGAGTACAATGGCGCGATCTCGGCTCACTGCAACCTCCGCCTCCTGGGTTCAAGCAATTCTCCTGCCTCAGCCTCCCAAGTAGCTGGGACTACAGGCGTGTGTCACCATGCCCAGCTAATTTTTTTTTGTATTTTTAGTAGAGACGGGGTTTCACTATGTTGACCAGGATGGTCTCGATCTCTTGACCTCGTGATCCACCCGCCTCAGCCTCCCAAAGTTCTGGGATTATAGGCGTGAGCCACCGCGCCCAGCAATACAAAGTCATTATACTAAATTCAAAGACTCAAATTTATAGAATTGAACATAGACTACAGTGTATAAAGAGAACACATTAAATTAAACCACTTAAGCCCCTCAACTGTCAATCATTAGTATTAGCAAGTCATTTCACCTATTCACAGAAATGTATTCAGAATATGCCACTGAGTATTACACTCATTATCATCTTCAACACTGATCTGATAGCTATCTACCAGGGAATTATATTAATTTTCCTGCATTAAAAAAAAAAGAATTAACCCCAATCTCACTAGTTAGCAAGGAAAGGCAGAGTAAAACCCCAATGAGATAACTGTTTTCATACTCATCATTGGACAAAAATTTAACAGTGTAACCAAACAAACTAATGGGAAGGAAGCAGAACAACAGAAACACCAATATACCACCACTGGGACTGTAAACTGCTACCATAACTTCAGAGAGCAATTTAGTAATAGTCAGCTATAAAGGTCTGCACATAACTTGGAACAGCCTACAAACCTGTTTGCCCACAACCAAACTAAGAAATATACCTTACATCTTATCCAGTATACATACCCCTGAAAACAAAAGCTCTATAAAACACTATTCTTACTACATGCCTTATACTAGTATCTTCTCTCTCCTACCAATATTTTCTATTCTCTTCTCTTTCTACTTTTAAAACATGCTGCTTGCAGCCCAAAGTTAGAACAACACTTCTCTAGACAAATTATCCTTATGCATATGCATGTGGAGGAAAAGTTAAATATTAAATTTGAACTCAATTAAATGTGGACACAAACAATGGTCACCAAGTCCCGGAACAGGTTATCTGAGCCCCTTGAGGCGTTCATCCAGTGCTGTTTCAGAGAAATCTCTATTTCAACCTATTCCTATACATTAGTTATTGAAAAACAACAATTGCAAAAACAAGTTGACCTTTTAGTGTTCCTTGAGCCCAGCGGCAAAGGGCCCTCCTGACTGGGCCTCATGCCAAACAACTTGTTACAAAAAGAGCTAGGGTCCCAGACCACGCCAAAGCTTCGTGAGACCTCTCCTCACGAGTGCACAGATGAATGGCTGACTCTGGAATCCAGGCTGTTGCTTCCCAGTCTGGTGATGAGCTCTCCATAGTCTGGTGAATGTACATATATTTATCTCTTTTCCTTTCTCCTCCTCCCATTGCAGTTTGCTTATTTTATCAATTTGCTTATTATATCTGCATTGCCATTTTTGTGGATAAAGCTTGTTTATCCTTAAAGGTATTGTGTGTCTTTGCTTCTCCCCTGGAGTGTTTCCCACACAGAACAATGCAGAGCACTTAATATTGTTTATAAAACAAACAACCAAGCTAAAAACAACCAAAATGTCCATCAACAGGAAAACAGTCGAATTGTGGCATATTCACTGCATAGAATTCTACAGATCAATCTTGAGTAAATTAGGGCTACGCATTATCAACATGGATCAATCTTAAAAACAAAAACACTGGGCTGGGTGCAGTGGCTCACGTCTGTAATCCCAGCACTTTGGGAGGCTGAGGCAGGCGATGACGAGGTCAAGAGTTCAAGACCAACCTGGTCAATACGGTGAAACCCCATTTCTACTAAAAATATGAAAATTAGCCAGGCGTGGTAGCATGTGCCTGTGGTCCTAGCTACTTGGGAGGCTGAGGCAGAAGAATTGCTTGAACCCGGGAAGTGGAAGTTGCAGTGAGCCAAGATTGTGCCACTGCATCACTCCAGCCTGGGCAACAGAGCGAGACTCCATCTCAAAAAAAAAAAAACAAAAAACCAACAGGAAGCAAAAGCTTTTAAATTTTTAAATGTAAAACCATGGAAACACAGTTTTATATACCAGTTATAGATGAATACATATATGAACTAATAGTTAACATCACCACTAGAATATAATCTCCTTAAGGGCAGGGACTTTTTTTTTTTTTATTGTTTGCCAATGTTAAATAGTGGCTGGCATATAATCAGCTACTTAATAAACATTTATTGAAAGAATTAGTAGTTTTGAAAGTGCTAGCCCATGCACTTACACAGGAAAATGATATCCTTGCATAATCTGGAGACATCAGAAATATGTTTTGATTTCTCTGTAAGTAAATATAGGACTACAGTGAGAAGCCCTAGAACAGTGGTTCTCAAACTTCAGAGTGCATATGTTACTCATTCAACAGGTCTAGAAAAGAGTCTGAGAACTTGCATTTCTTTT